CAGAGATGGCCTCCTACAGATCCACAGGCACCTACGTCGATGAGGTTCCCCCCCCTGGGGCGAACGTAGTCGACGGCATGTGGATCTACAGGGTGAAGCGGCCACCGGGATCTCCCCCGGTCTTCAAGGCGCGCTACGTGGCTAGAGGTTTCAGTCAGCGTGAGGGAGTTGACTTCTTTCAGACCTTCGCACCTACCCCGAAGATGACCACTCTTCGGGTGTTACTACACGTAGCAGCACAGAGAGACTACGAGTTACACTCTCTCGACTTCTCCACTGCTTTCCTTCAGGGCAGCCTACACGAGGAGGTCTGGTTGCGTCGTCCCTCGGCCTTCACTGGCACCTTCCCTCCTGGGACCCAGTGGAGGCTGAGGCGACCTGTTTACGGTCTTCGCCAGGCCCCTCGTGAGTGGCACGACACTCTGCGTTCTACCCTCTCTGACCTTGGGTTCCAGCCGTCTTCTGCCGACCCGTCGCTGTTCGTTCGTCGTGGCTCCACACCGTTCTTTGTTCTGGTTTACGTCGACGACCTCGTTTTCGCCACTCCGGACAGGGTTGCTTTGGCAGACGTGAAGTCCGAACTGCAGAAGAGACACACGTGCACTGATCTTGGTGAGCTGCACCACTACCTTGGCCTGCAGATCACCAGGGACAGAGCCGCTCGCACCATTACACTCTCACAGTCACACATGGTGCAGCAGGTCCTTCAGCGGTTCGGGCTTCAGCACTCCACCGTACAGCGCACACCTCTAGCTGTTGACCACAGACTCACTGGTCCCTTTCCTGACGAGCCGTTTGAGCCTAGTGGTCCCTACGCATAGCTTGTAGGTTGCCTCATGTACCTGATGACTTGTACTCGCCCGGACCTCGCCTTCCCTCTCAGCATCCTTGCGCGCTTTGTTGCGCCAGGGAGACACCGTCCTGTTCACTGGACGGCAGCTGTGAGGGTGGCGAAGTACCTAGCGACTACATCAGGCGTGGGGCTAGTTCTTGGAGGGCAGCAGTCTGTCGTACTCACTGGTCACTGTGACTCCTCTTACGCTGACGACGCTGAGACTCACAGGTCTACTCAGGGGTACTGTTTCAGTCTGGGTTCTGGAGCTGTTTCCTGGTGTTCCACGCGCTCCTCTTCTGTCTCGACCTCTACAGCTGAGGCTGAGATTTACGCTGGTGCCATGGCGGCACAGGAGTTGCGGTGGTTGACCTTCTTGCTCGCCGACCTTGGTGAGCGGCCGAGCTCTGCACCGACCTTGTTTACTGACAACAAGGCGTCGATCCTCCTCTGTCGTGAGCCGCGACTGGAGAGCAGAGTGAAGCACATTCACGTCAGGTACTTTCTTCTGCGAGAGTTGCAGAGGCGTGGACAGGCTCGCTTCGAGTTTGTAGAGTCCGAGGCCAACACTGCAGACATCTTCACCAAGGCGCTTCCGCCTTGTGACCACCAGAGGTGTTGTGTGCAGTTAGACCTTGTTGACACAGGTTCTAGTCATGCGTAGACTTGAGTTTATTGCCTGCTTCGTTTGTACTTTTACTACCGTATCACCCCGGATATAAGCGCCATGGCGCTTATAATAAAATCGATTTTTTTAATGGTGGCGCTTGTAATTGAATAATGGCCATAAGCGCCGGCGCTTATATAAAGACAAATACAGAAATACAATTCAAACGCACCAACATGTACAGTTCAGTCTCGTAAGTTGAACCGAATTAAAACTTTACAGCGTCCAGAATCAGAATCCCGCGAGGGCGAATTTCTGACGGTGCACTGAGCTTTGGCGCGTCATTTTGCCCGCGTGCCAGCTCATACTGACTGGACGCGCAACCAGTGAGGTCCGCGAAAGTCAAACAATGTGAAAATGTGATGTGACTCGCTAGAAATATGAAGTTCGTTACCGTTTTAATCAGGAATGAAAAATAAATTTAGGCGTGCGCTTATAATAAGTAAAGCATTTTCAGGGGGGGCGCTTATAATCGAATTCCGGCCATAAGCGCCATGCTCCAGATAGAAGCGCCGGCGCCTTTAATCGGACGGCGCCTATATCCGGGGCGATACGGTATATATACTTGTGATCTCTTGGACTGGCCTTGTGGCCACTGTTGCTTGTGCTCAGAGTGTGTGGTGACGTTGTGATCCACCCTGAGCTTTGTTTTCTTTTGGACTAGTCTTGTGACCGTGCTCTTTTTTGTTTTTTGCTAGACACCCCTCACTTAGGCTATGGGGGTGTGTCAAATGTTGTAGCCTGTAGTGAGGTTTGTCTTAGGGGGTACAGAAGTTAGGGTTTGTCATATGTACCCCAACCAACATCAATGGAACATTCATTCCTCATTCTGACACTAGGATCCTCTAAAAAAATAATCCAAGTAGCAAATGGCCACACAAGGCCAAGGAAGAACTTTGCTCTAGATACCAATGTAACACCCCAGGCTATTATAATGGAGTTACAAGGCTTTTATAATAAATCCCAATACAAGATGAAGCTCTAGCTAGCTCCCAATAGCCTTTGAGGTGCCAATCTTCTTGAAGGAGTTGTTGAAATAGCTTGAGAGAATTGTGTAGGAAGGCTTGTGAGAGAGCCCAAAAATGACTTAGAGAAACAATCCCATTTCCAATTGTTTAGTCGGAGTGGGAGGTTGAGAATGAGCTTGCTTAGCTCAGACCCCCTCAATATCCCTTGGGGAACTATTCCAACTAGGGTTTCCATGGTGGGATGGTTCCTAGGCTTGGAGCCTATGTGGTAATTGTGTTGGGTTGGAAAACCCAACTTAGAACCATTCAATGGTTGTGTTTAAGATAGAGTAGATTGTAACAATTGTTTGGCAGTTTCTGATTGGTTGGAATTCCAACCTTTGTGATTTCACTTTGATGGGTTGGAATGTTCCAAGCCTCAATGTTGAGGTTTGGATAAACCCAACCAACCCTTCCTTCCCAACCCCTCCTTCCCAACCCCAACTACAATTTCCTGCAACTCAACCTTCATCGAGTTCAATCTCGAATGGTTGCCTTAGGAGTGAGGTAGCTCGATAGGTAGGAGTAGGGGATGCGTTACACACAGCAACGCTTCGGCAGAAAGGGACTGCACAACGTGCAAGCGCCCCAGCAGCTGCGGGCTGCTTCGAACTTGCAGTTGAAGAAAGCGATGAAGTGCTAGGCGCATCGTTCGACGCTCGCGTTTCGCTGCCTGACCCCTCTGCCGACCGTCGGATGCGGATCAGTGGGTGTTCCATGGTAGAATGGAATGGCGTCGGCCAAGCGATGAAGTGCTAGACGCACCGTTCATGTAAGGATTTACAGAATCCTTACTGAGGCACTCGTTAGCGAGGCCATCCCGAGGGTCACGCGACGAACATGTCCTTCCTATTTCGTCGCACCGAACCACTCCCGAGTCGCCTCCGCTCCAATCGCAACCATCACCGAGCCATCCTCGCCCAGCCTCTCCGCCTAGCTAGGACTTCCCCTATTTAGTCGTGCCTTTCTCATTGTATCGTCATTCGGTAATCAGTTCTTTCTCGATATTTGTTTTACTGCGCACTCTGCAAGTTCATTCATAACAGTTCAGCACTCGCGTTCCGATGCTTGGATTAAAAATGACGAAAATGCCAAGGGTTCTAGCACACACACACAATTGACTCCCCCCCGCCCTCCATCCCTGGAGATGCGGAAGCCTGCTTTGCGAACTCAGGCTGCAGACAGGCGAACAATCGGTTACCAGCCTCAATTTCTCAATTGGTTGTCTGATTGGTCCGAATGTTCGTTTTTGTAACCTTGAAAACTTCGCAGCCTTCTTCCGCTCCCTCGTCATTCTCGAAGGCCTCTTGCTGGGGAGGCAAGAGCAAAGGACCACCGTCTGGAATGAGGCGAACACAAAACCTTAACACGCATCAAGGTTTCTTTCTGTTCTCGCTGTGTCTAGGCAGGGCTGTTCGTGTCGCAGGCTTCATTTTTGCAGCGCGGCTAGGCTGTGCGACCGCAACATAGCGCACGCGTGCTGTATAGGCGAGCATTTTCAAGGTGCCTGTACACCTCTCTCATCCGCCACGTGTCTTCATTCGAGTTCGGTAGATCCGCCGCCATCGCGATCTCGATCCCACGGCTGATCTCGATCCGCCGCCATCGCGATCCGCCGCCATCGCGATCTCGATCTCGAGATTATATCTGATCGTCCGATGCTGTCTGGCCCATCAGAGAGAAGATCCAGTCAACGGTCCAAATCTCATCAACGCATATCCGATCAACGGACCAGATCCAGCAAAGGCAGATCTGCCAGTGAGACGGACCTTTCTGTGTCCAGTCATTCACGTCGACCGTTGATATCATTCGGCTTCTTTCGATCGTTGCTATGTCTCGATCGGACGGCGTGCGACACGCGACAAGGATCCTTCTAACGCGGATTCACACGTCATCATCGTCGTCATCGTCATCAGCAGCAGCAGCGTGTAATGGCGCCAGCATGCAAACCGCAGCGGCAGCGGCAAGAACAGCAGCTGTCAGCCGTCCTCTAGATGCTATCATTCGCCGCGTGCTCAACCTTGCCGCCAGATCCCCAACCGCCGCCCATTCTGCTGCTGCTGTTCCCTCCTCCTCCCTCTTCTCCTCCTCTTTCTCCTCCTCCTCCGCAGCTTCACCTGTTTCCACTCCCTCTGCCTTTTCAACTTCGCGGGCGCTTGTGTTTGGCTGCAGCGGGGGAGCAGGGGGAGGCGCGTGTGCTGTGACGCGAGCAGGAGGGAGAGGACGCGCTGCTGGTGCATGTGCAGGTGCAGGTGCAGGTGCAGTGAATCTGGACATTGGGGGTCTGAGATGGCTGAAAACGAGTGCAGGACGCGTACGCGCTGTGGGCGCGAAGGCAAAAGTTGGGGCAGGGGCGGGGGCAGGTGCAGTGCATGTGGACATTGGGGCGAGGGCCCGCGCGCGGCAGACGCAGCGAATGTGGACGCTTGTGATTGGTGGAGGCGCGGTGGCTGGGCTGGCCATATTTGCGATGAACTCGTTTCAAGAAAACTTGATGTTCTATATAACGCCCACCCAGGTGAGTTGGGTTTACTGTTACTCATCCCACGCCCCTTCTCACCTCCCTCATCCCTCGCCCCTTCTCACCCCCTCATCCCACGTCCCTTTTCGTCCCCTCATCCCACGTCCCTTTTCGTCCCCTCATCCCTCGCCCCTTCCCACCTCCCGTATCCCTCGCCCCTTCTCATCTCCTTGCTTGTCATGCCCTTTCTCATCTTCCCTTTCAGGCTCTGGAAAGGTTCGCAGAGAACTCGCCATCTGCTTCATCCCTCACTCATTCTCATTTTCCTCATCCCTCGCCCCTGCTCACCGCCCTTGCAGGCTCTGGAGAAGTTTGCAGAGAACTCTTCTGCCAACCGGTTCAGGCTGGGCGGGCTTGTGAAGGAGGGCAGGTGAGAGGGGAGACAGAGGAGGGCAGGTGAGAGGGGAGAGAGAGGAAGGTTAGTGAGAGGGGAGAGAGGAGGGTTGGTGAGAGGGGAGAGAGGAGGTTGGTGAGGTGAGAGGGGAGAGAGGAGGGTTGGTGAGAGGGGAGAGAGGAGGGGATGTTAGAGGGAAGAGAGGAGGGCATGTGAGAGTGAAGAGAGGAGGGGATGTGAGATAAGAGAGGAGGGAATGTGAGAAGTGAGAGAGGAGGGGATGTAAGGGGGAATTGAGGAGGGGATGTGAGAGGGGAGAGAGGATGTTTGTTGGGAGGTGAGAAAGGAGAGCAGGGGTGGTGGGAGGAAAAAGACGAGGGAGTGTGAGGATAAAGAGGAGGGCTGGTGTGTGGGCGGTTGGTGTGAGCCAGGCTTGTGAGAAGAGCGAGGGGCTAGTGGAGGGGAGGGGACGGGAGAAACTTCAGTATCATTTTCCATGTCATTTCCATTCAGCATTTCGACCGGTTGTTTCTTCATTGCGTTTCTTCGTTGTCATGTGCGTTCCTTTGGAATGTGTGTGTCTCACTCTGCTCCCTCTCCCTTCACCTCACCTTTTGAGTCGACTCTCTCTGCTCCCTCTCCCTGCACCTCACCTCACCAGTGTGCGCATTCCTGCTGGAAGTATTGAGATGGAGTTTGTTGTCACTGACCTTGCAACCGATGTGAGTATAAGAGTGCAGAAAGTGTAACAGATGTGAGTATAAGAGTGCAGAAAGTGTAACAGATGTGAGTATAAGAGTGCAGAATGTGTAACAGATGTGAGTATAAGAGTGCAGAAAGTGTAACAGATGTGAGTATAAGAGTGCAGAAAGTGTAACAGATGTGAGTATAAGAGTGCAGAATGTGTAACAGATGTGAGTATAAGAGTGCAGAAAGTGTAACAGATGTGAGTATAAGAGTGCAGAATGTGTAACAGATGTGAGTATAAGAGTGCAGAAAGTGTAACAGATGTGAGTATAAGAGTGCAGAAAGTGTAACAGATGTGAGTATAAGAGTGCAGAAAGTGTAACAGATGTGAGTATAAGAGTGCAGAATGTGTAACAGATGTGAGTATAAGAGTGCAGAAAGTGTAACAGATGTGAGTATAAGAGTGCAGAAAGTGTAACAGATGTGAGTATAAGAGTGCAGAAAGTGTAACAGATGTGAGTATAAGAGTGCAGAATGTGTAACAGATGTGAGTATAAGAGTGCAGAATGTGTAACAGATGTGAGTATAAGAGTGCAGAAAGTGTAACAGATGTGAGTATAAGAGTGCAGAAAGTGTAACAGATGTGAGTACAAGAGTTCAGAAAGTGTAACAGATGTGAGTATAAGAGTGCAGAAAGTGTAACAGATGTGAGACTAAAAGTTTTCAATTTGTAACAGATGTGATTATTAGAATTTCCAGTCTGTAACAAATGTGAGGCCATGCAGACACTACCACTTTCTTGCTTGCTCTCTCACACCCGTTCTCTCCCTCCCTCCTTTCCCCCTCTGTCCCTCTCACTGCAGATCCTGGTGCGCTACAGGGTTGCCAGAGAGGCCCTCCGTGAATAGGTCTTGCTTTGCCTGACCTATTCACGGAGGGCCATTCAGTGGTGGCGGAGGGGTTTCTGCGGCCTCTCAGCCAAGCCAACACCGCTGCTTCCCTCATTGTTACATCCTTCCTGTTCTTCTGTTCTCCCTGTTAATGCTGCATATTCTCGTGCGCTACAGGGTTGCTTTGCCTGACCTATTCACGGAGGGCCACTCTGTGGTGGCAGAGGGCTTTCTGCGCCCCCTCAGCCAAGCCAACGCAGCTTATAGAAAACCATAATCATCTTCCTTTTTTCCGTGCGTTCACTGCAGATCCCGGTCTGCTACAGGGGTGCTTTGACTGATTTATTCAGGAAGGGCCATTCCGTGGTGGCAGAGGGGTTTCTGCGGTCGCTCAGCCATGCCGACACCGCTGCCTTCTTGGATGCGCCACCTCATGTAAATAGAAGTGTTTTGAGACGTCTCAAAACCACCACATCCCTTTTTTCTTCCTTCCCCCCTCCTGACTCCAGATTTTGGTACGTTACAGGGGTGCCCTGCCAGATCTGTTCAGGGAGGGCCACTCTGTGGTGGTGGCGGCGGGGTTTCTGCGGCCGCTCAGCCAAGCCACCACCCCTGCTTTCTTGGATGCGCCACGAGCCCTTTTTTCTTCCTTCCCCCTTTCCTGACTCCAGATTTTGGTACGTTACAGGGGTGCCCTGCCAGATCTGTTCAGGGAGGGCCATTCAGTGGTGGCGGAGGGCTTTCTGCGGCCTCTCAGCCAAGCCACCACCGCTGCTTCCTGCACTGTGACACCTCTTCCCATCTTCCTTTCCCCCCCCAACCCACCCCTCCCCCATTACGCCAGATTTTGGTCCGGTTCAGGGGTGCTCTGCCTGATCTGTTCAGGGAGGGCCATTCAGTGGTGGCGGAGGGCTTCCTGCGCCCCCTGAGCGAAGCCAACACCGCTGCCTTCACTGGCAGCAGCATCGCCAGTGCCAGCAGCAGCAGTGGATTTTCTGGGAGAGGGGCGACTGTATTAGGGGTTGCAGAGGCGGAGGGTGCTGTAGTGGAGAGGGGGATTGGGGAGGGGGGAGCGAGAGGGGAGGGTGGGGGTGTGGGGGAGAAGGGGGTGGGGGAGTGGGAGGAGGGGGAGGATGTGAGTGCGAGTGCGCGGAGTGTGGGGTACTTCTTTGCTGCGACTGAAGTGCTGGCAAAGCATGATGAGGTGAGTGGGAGAGGGCGAAGCATGATGAGGTGAGTGCTGCTGGGAAACACTACGAGGGGTAGCGAGCTTAGATGGCCATGAAGAGATGAAGGAGAATGCTGCTGGGTGCCTGTGGTGTGGCAAGAGCTCGGTGTGGGGGGTACTTCTTTGTTGCGACTCAAGTGCTGGCGAAGCATGATGAAGTGAGTGCCGGATGCCGGATGAAGGTTGAGGCTGTTTTAGGTTGTGCTCATGCCGGTATAAGTAAGGTCAGTCTTAATCTGTTCTCTTGGTTACTGTATCTAAATCATGTGCCTAAAGTTCTTTTCTTTTCTTTTCTTTTGTCTTTCTCTTATTTTTTTCCTTACTGTTTTTCCACGTTTTTTCTCTTCCTTGTTTAGCATTGTGGGTGTTTAATATGTTGTCACTGAGCAAGATGTTGTGTCCACCCTCACTCTCTCCCTCCCCCCCCTCCCCCCTCCACCCTGTCCCCCTTATTTCTACCATAGAAATACATGTCCAAGGAGGTGGCAGCAGCTCTGGAGAAGAACCTGTGGGATGTCCCGTGATCTCAACATGCCCACCAATTTCCCACCCTACCCTCTCCTTCTCTCCCCTGCCCTTCGCCAATTTTCTTCTACCTCAGAAATACATGCACAAGGAGGTAGCAGCAGCTCTGAAGAAGAACCGAGCAGCAATAGAGGCAGCAGGGGAAGTGGACGACACGAGTGATGCTTTGAGACGTTTCATAACACTCCCCAACCCCCTCCCCCCTCTATCCTCTCCCCTTTCCACTGTAGAAATACATGCCCAAGGAGGTGGCAGCAGCTCTGGAGAAGAACAGAGCAGCAATTGAGGCAGCAGGGGAAGGTGACGACACGAGTGATGGGGAGGGGGAAGGGAAGGACGACGGGGAAAGAAGTGTGGGGGAGGCACAAAAAGGAAACAAGTCATCGGTTGGAAGTGGTGGTGGTGCTGCTGGTACTGCTGCGCTTGGGATGGGGGATGGTGCGAAGAAGCCTGGGAAGCTGAGCAAGCTTGGACAATCACCTAGTGTTGCTCAGGGATATGACATTCCTTCCTAATTACATCAAATGTTTCTTATACTGTAAATTTTGTTTCAATCTAATACTTGGCATTCTCTGGATTGGGGGCACACAAGCAGGTGTATGACAATTCACAATAACATCGCGAAACGATAGCCATGTACAACGGGCGATGCGGCAATCGCGTACGCGTGTGTCGCGTTCAAATCCATCCAGCCTGAACTGAACTCCACTTTGGTGTGAACAGATCCAAATTCCAAGAGGAAATGGCAAAGCGCCCTGTTTCCAAGCTCTGCGGATTGTCTTCCAGTCGTATGCTCCCACGATCTAGTGCAGTCTAGACCGCTATTGCTTCCAGCAGAATCTAGCGCAGATATAGTGCAGCCATGGCGGCGTTTATCACCTCCCAAGCCACCACCGCCATTGCTTGCCGCTTCTCCCTCCACCACGGCCGACCGTTGCCATTCCGTCGCTCGCTTGCGCTCCTCTCCTCGCCGAGGCGCGTCGCACTCACAACAAGATGTGCTTCCAGCAGCAGCAGCTCATCCGCAGATTTATCCGGGAAAGGGGCTGATCCGAAGCAGCTGTTCGCGGTAATCTACGAATACGTGCCGGACATTGTTACCCGTCGCGAGAAATTTCGCGAGGAGCATGTGCAGCTGTGCCGGTCGCTGGCCGCGGAGGGGAAAATGGTCGCAGGTGCTGCGACTGGTAACCCTCCCACAGGCGCATTGCTGATCGTCCGTGCGAACAATCGCGAAGAGGTGGTTCGCGATCTAATCGAGGCGGATCCGTACGTTACCGAAGGCTTGGTCGTGCGACATTCAGTGGAACCATGGACCCCTGTGGTGGGGACAATGGCGGAACCCCTCCGAAGCGTTTGTTGATCCTCTCGTGTCCATCAATATAAAAATACATCCAAGTTTTCGGGCTCAGGATTGGTTCGCCAGTTGGTTCGAGCCGGATCTTGCGCCAGTACTTGCTGCTTCAGTTCGGTACACTCACGAAACTCTCGGGAACGGTCCTAGGGCGAACGGAAGGTCTGATGTGATGTGATGTGATGTTGTTGAAGTCCCTCGTTAAGATCACAGAAGCTGATCGTGAGAGCCCACGCTCAGCTTGGGAAAAGCATGCAGGAGCGACGAGCGGAAGGAAAGAGGGCGAGCGACGCGAAGAGAAGGCTGGCGGAAAGAATTGGTTTGGAGGGCAAAGAAATGAGATAAGGTTTAAGGTGGTAGTGTAGTGGAGGTGTCAAGGGTCAAGACTCAAGCAGCTATTTGTTGTACGGTAGTCTTTGGAGTTTGATGGCAATGGCTGGCGCTCAGGCCCTATCAATCAAGGGGACATTGATTGGGTGCAGTGAAGCCATAAATAAATACGAGTCATGGTAACTCAGGGCAATGCCAATGACCGCTGCTGGATGTGCCAGGGCAGGAGCGGTTTTAGTGCCAGTCATTGCATGTGACAAGATTAGAAAGCGAGAATGATATCGAGAACAAAATTTAATTGTGGCATTGCTACGTTCTAGTGCATATTGATGTATAAATACAATTCTGCCTGCCATGCCAGTCCAAGCTCCAAGTTAAGAGCGTTTTATTCGTTTCTCTCTGGTACTACACGGTAAAACTTCAAGAAACAGACTCAGCGTGGCCATCCTGCCTCTGCCTGTGACAGGGTGTACTCTGCCAGCTGGCGGATGACGTCAGCACTCAGACGCGGGCCGAACGTGCACTGGCCCCTTGGTTTGCAGTCCTCCCCATAGCCCTGGGATGGGAGGAGAAAGAGGGGAAAGACACGACAGGGAAGGGAGAGGGTGGGGGAGAGAGGGAGGAAAGAGATAGCCTTGCCCCAGAGGCACATATTCACTGCCAGCATGGCTTGCAGTCCTCCCCGTAGCCCTGGGAGGGAGATAGGGCCGGGGGAGGGAGGGTTGGAGGGGTGGGGGCAGGGGGTGGGGGGAAAGTGGGGGGGAAGAAAGGCAACCGTGCACTGCCGCATTCCTCCCAGTAGCCCTAGGAGGAGAGAGTGGGAAAAGAGAGAAGGGGGGAGGGGAGAGGGGAGAGGAGGGTGCGGGGCAGAGGGGAGCAGTGAAAGTGTAGCCTCAAAGCCTTTGCATTGCCCCCATGTAGCCAACGTAGCCCTGGCCCCTGGCAGGGCACCTGTAAGTGTGTGGGGGGATGGGGGGAGCAGGGAGAAAGGGGGAAAGGGGAGTGGGATGAGAGAGGGGGCATGAGGTTGAATGGTGGACTAGCAGTGGTGGGGGAGCGAGGTGCTTACACTGGCCTTGGCATATAGCTGAAGCAAGGGGAACGGGGGAAAGGAGAGGGGAAGGGGAAGGGGGAAAGGAAAAATGGGATGGGATGGGATGGTTTCATAGACGTTCGGGGATTCTATAAAGTTTCTAGACATTGAGGGGAGAACTCAATCGTTTTGTCAAGCTTCTTTAGTCTCGAAAGCTAAAGACTGAAAAGACCGATAAGCATTGGTCGAGCTAAGCCCTCGATACATTTTCAGGGTACAGAATGGCTGGAGTGCATGTGGGATACATGCAGTTTTGAGACATCTCAAAAGTCAAAACGAGATATCTGATACCATATTCTGGGTACATACAGACTGACTGGAGTTCAGTGGGATACATGCGAAGAGATATTTTACACATGGTACTAGAGTCCCACATGCTCTGATACATATTGGCATTCTAGTAGAGTCCAGAATGCTCTAATACGTACAGGCATGCGACCGATGCCGAATGCAGTGACCCTGGCAATGTCGTCTGCTGAGGTGAGCCCGTTCCTGGAGCGAGCATGGGGAATGACGAGTGGGGATGGGTGAAGTGAAGCGAACCGTGAGGCTTATCTAAGGCTCTCCAAAATGCGAGAGAGAAAGGCGATGGGTCTCGAGTGAGGACGGAGGATAGTAATGTATATTCCGAGACAATTGTAAAATTTCTCACATTGGCCAGGAAAAGGTACTGCCTGAATGGGTGTCATGCAAGATGGCGAGGGTATAAAAGAGTGTGGAATGGAAAGAGCGAGGGTTGAGGTGGCTTTTGAGGCGCCTCAAAAACCACCTCAATGCACGCGGGTGGCATGCAAGATGGTGAGGGTATAAACCACGTGTAAACAGGGTTGTTTTGAGACGTCTCAAAACGAATGGGTGTCATGCAAGATGACGAGGGTATAAAAGAGTGCGGAATGGAAAGAGCGAGAGAGAGCGAGAGAGGAAGTTGATGCGGAAGGGAAGATGTACTGCATTCACCTTTGGAGATCAGCGAGTGAGAGGCCCGCACCCTGCAGGAAGGAAGAAACGGACAAAGAGGGAGGAGACGGGAGAAGATGCGTGAAAAACACAACCAAGGGGGTGTGTGGTGAAACTGTGACGAGAAGGAGACAACTCCATTCAAGAATGTGGTGAACTGGAAAGGCTGTCATAGCAGCCAACAGCAGCCAGCCTGCTCTCAGGAGTAGCCCTTAACAATGAACAACAACTCGTATGACAATTGAGCTGGGTATTGAGATTTTTCAAAAAAACAGGAGTAGCTCTGAGGGGCGAACAACAACTCAAATGAGAATTGATGGACCAACTCCAAGAGCACACAAACTCTCGGAATTCAGTCGATGGGAAAAGCATAAGGAATTGCTGAGAGGAGAGGCTGCCAGCTGCCATAGCAGCACATGTGCTGTGACAGCTGGGTGATTGGTGCTCGCTACCTGCTGGCGGCTGCTGGTGAAGCCTTTGAGCACACCCAACCACCTGCTGCCATAGCAGCACATGTGCTGTGACTGCTGCTCTTGAGGCACCTCAAATGTGGACAGGTTGCCAGCGGCCATAGCAGCACACTCGTGCCATAGCATAGCAGCACACTCGTGCCATAGCATAGCAGCACACTCGTGCAATAGCATAGCAGCACACTCGTGCAATAGCATAGCAGCACACTCGTGCCATAGCATAGCAGCACACTCGTGCCATAGCATAGCAGCACACTCGTGCCATAGCATAGCAGCACACTCGTGCAATAGCATAGCAGCACACTCGTGCCATAGCATAGCAGCACACTCGTGCCATAGCATAGCAGCACACTCGTGCCATAGCATAGCAGCACATGTGCCGTAGCAGCTGGGTGATTGGAGTGTGCTCAAAGACAGCTGCTGGTGAAGCTGGAGGAGGGGGACTCATGGGCTGCTAAGAGGCCTTTGCTAGTAACGTACCGGTTTGCGCAGGTTTCCAACCCCCCTTGCATGGCAGCCGGCACATATGCGCTCATAAACTGCTGCTGTTGGCGGCGATGGGGGAGATGGGGAGGGATCGAGTCCTCCGTTGCTAGGCGTTTGTGTCAACAACGTACCGGCTTGAGCAGTTTTCCTCCCCCAGCGTGGCAGCCGGCGCATGTGCGCTCAAACACTGCTGCTGGTGACAATGGGGACGATAAGTAGGGATCGAGGCCTAGGCTGCTGGCGTGTGTGTTGTAACAACGTACCGGTTTAAGCAGGTTCCCTCCCCCAGCATGGCAGCCGGCACACGTGCGCTCAAACACTGCTGCTGCTGGTGATGATATGGAGACGTCCTGCGCTAGAGCGGGCTGCTGCCCTGCAGGCATATAGAACGTGGCAGGGTAGAGATTACAGGGGAAGGAGGTAAAGGAAGGGGGGTAGGATAGAAGTTACAGGTGTCGGAGAATCATCCTCTGTTGCATCCCGCGGCTTGCCTGCTCCTTCCTGGACTCACCCTCGCTCCCTTCTTCTTCTGAGCTCTGTTCCTGTGCTACCTTACCTGCTCTGCCTCAGCCACTACCATGAGAGATTTCCGCTCCCACACGATGGCTGCCCACAGTGGCTTTAGCTACCTAGCTGGAGCTAGCTTGAAACGGTAGTTTGGATCCACTATACGAGGCAAACAAACGAGAGAACGAACTGAGCAGTGAGTTCCTAGCCTATTTGAATCTCTACCCCGTGCCGCGCAGTTTCCCGTAACTCACATTGGGCTCCGCCCGCTAGGCTTCAGGATTGGCCCTTCGGATTGCCCAGGGCTCGCCCTTGAATTTGTCCCACCCTGCGCCTCGCAAGTCCCTCGGTCACCACTTTGCGTCACTGCCCACGCACCGAACTCTCCTTCTACAGTGCTTCGAATAACCCAACTACACCTACACTAGTGAGTAACTGAATATATTGCAACTAACAATCTATTCGGTGACACAGGGGAAGGAGGTAAGGAAGGGAGGTAGGATAGAGGTCACAGGAGGAGGTAAAAGAAGGGGGGGAAGGGAAGAGTGGGAGAAGTCCTGAGCTAGAGCGGATTGCTGCCCTGCAGGTGAAATGAAAGGGGTTACGATAATGGTTACATCGGACGGAGAGAAAGGAAGGGATGAACAGGAGAAGTCCTGTTCAAGAGGTGGATGCCGCCCTACTGGTGAGGGCAAGTGCAGGAATAGTGAGAGAGAGCAAAAAACTGAGGAGTAAAGGTTTCAGAGTTTCAGAAATGGTATAGGAAGTAGCGTAGAGGCAGTGGGGTGGGTAGAGAGGGAGGGGGGGGGGGAAGAAGAGTGTGTGGGGGGATGGGGATGGATGTAACAAACGAGCAGAACAAAAGGAGTAGACGCACGGATGGGTGATTACAGAAAGATCGTTGAGAATCTCGCGCAATAGCAAGAAGCGAAAGAGCGCACAAGAGGTGTACTGCCCTTACTATGTTGGGAAGGTCCCTCTGGGAAGAGTCCTCTGGGAAGATTCATCTGGGAAGATTCCTCTGGGAAGATTCATCTGGGAAGATTCCTCTGGGAAGATTCATCTAGGAATATTCTTCTGGGAAGATTCATCTGGAAAGATTCCTCTGGGAAGATTCTTCTGGGAAGATTCCTCTGGGAAGATTCCTCTGGGAAGATTCCTCTGGGAAGATTCCTCTGGGAAGATTCCTCTGGGAAGATTCCCCGGATGGACTATGTGTGTCACGACACAACTTATGGGAGGGCAGATACGTACAGAGCAGAGTGGCGGAGAGCACTGCAGCAGCACATGCAGCCATGGTCCCTGCGTGCCCATTCTGTGCTCCTGTGCGGTGCTCCCGTGATGCCTGCTGCTGTTGCTGCTGGTGATGGGATGATGATATCGATGGTGATGGTGATTGTGGTGGTGGTGACTGTGGTGATGACGTGGCTGACGGAGATGCGAGGGAGGCGCGCTGGCGTGGCGCTGCGATGCGCCGCTGCGAGGGAAGCGAGGATTTGGCTGCAGGATGGGGAGGGTGGGGGCGATAGGGGTGGTGGAACGGTGGGGGGCGATGGGAAGACAGACAGCGAAACATGTGTCTAGCAAAATGAAACGGGAGAGGGAAAGGAAGAGGAGAATAATTTAATATCAGGAGACGCGATGGGAGGGCGGGAGATATGGTTTAAGCAGTTCTCACTTCAGACCTTCTCCGCTGGGACTTGTCGCGTTACCCGATGGTGACCGCGTTACGACTGATCGCATTACGCATTGCTGACTGGTCGGGTTACGCAATGCTGACTGATCGCGTTATGCGATTCTCTTGTTGTGTGTTACCTCGACAGCTACAATCGCGACGATCGCGGATTATGCAGCATGATAGTTTCAGCCATTGGTAGCTTGAAAGTAGTAGTTTTGCAGCAAACGTTTCGGAACCTCCTCGGCGCATTACTCGAGGTCTAGGTAATGCGAACGCTTTCTGAGAGATTTCAAAACCGCCTACTCGAGATTTAGGTAATGCGGAGAAACTCGACCGGACTGGTTACTTTTGAGTCGACTCAAAGTCACCTCGACTGGCACGGCGCGAGTCGATTTGAGTCCACGAGTCAAAAGCATACCGACTGTAGAAGCGAGAATCGAGCCGCCTTTTTTACATAACAGAGACCCATGCTTACAAGTCAAGGCGGCGCTAGCGGAGAGAGGAGGAGTAGCGGAAGCGACGGCCATGGCGGCGGCAATCCCAAGGGATGACATTGTGCGGAGGTAAGGAAGACGGAGTATGGCCTGGGATGACTCGGCTAGGACGTGTGACAAATGACTGACGACTCGGCTGACCCAGCTCCTATCAACTGACACCAAGATCAGCATTTCAAATCTTCCCCGTTACGAATAAGCTCGTTACTTCCAAGGCGGTATGCATTCAAGCGGAATAGACCCTAGACACGTTATCATTATACATATCCATTGACCACTATGTTGTGCAATTCCACCATGATTCTTGTACGGCCGACGAAAGATACGTCTTCACCAAGACAATGCAGGGATATTTCCACAAATACATGCAAGCCATCACACCGCAATCTGATCCTGGCTTGCTTGCATGTTGCTGTCCTCAGTTTTATTATTCTTAGCCCCTCCCATCCCACCATATCAGCACCGTATCAACCATATCATTTGACACTACAAGGGCTGCAATTCCACAGATGCCGGAAGTAGTTTCATATGCGCTTCAATTTTCCTCAGAGAGGAATGACTGCTTCTGGCTGATTACCAATCCAGCATTGGTGCGTCTGGCTGTGATCCAACAGCGGTGCTTGGGTCGTAGCCTTCAGCAAATACACCTGGGATGATGCGGCTGGCTCATTGGTAATGCTCCTGCATCTACACAAACACCAAGATGCGGACGCTTGGATTATGACGACGAGAGGAATGTGCAAATATGGTGAAGTATAAATGTAACAAGTTGGAGGAAATAACAGCATGCAGCAATGGAGAGACGAAGCAAGGAAGGGGCACCTAGACAAGCTGAAAGGCCGAGGATGGACGAGGGTTTCAAGGAATCATATGCTACGATGGTGATATACCTACATGTGTATGTGTTATGGTAACCTGCTTGCCTTGGGAAGGACAGGAGAAAGGAGAGTGGAAAGATAGGGCACAGGAGAGTGGGCAGACAGAGAGCAACACAAGAAGGTATAAATCTGTAAGAATGAAAACTTCTCTACACTATCAAGTGACTGAGGTTGAGAGATGAGGGAAAACGAGTGTGGGGAGAGGGGGGTGTCGAAGTGTGGACGGAAGGCTCTAAGGGCGGAAAACAAGGAGTGGAATGGCAGTAGTGAATTGAACAGGAAGCACTGAGATGGCATGAGCGGAAGAAAATATGCAAGCGCAGGAATGGGTGGGAGAGGGAGGTTTGAGGAGATAGCAAGCAGAAAGAAAGCGGGGTTTGAACATGAGAGCCACAGAAGGGCAAGTGGTGAAAGAGGAAAGGGAAATGCCATTTTTACCATCCGATGCCATCTGACGCTGCCTGTGCACGCCAGACTATTCCAGCTGGAGCAGTGGACGTTCAAACAGTGAAGGTTCACAGAAGTCAGAAACATTGACGCCACTCAGATTGGCAAAAAGGAAAAGGACTGTATTAAAAGGGAGCCGTTGCGAGACAACAAAGCTTGCTGGTGGAGGGGAGGGGGTGAGGAGAGAGGGGGGGGGGGGGGGTGGGTTTGAGAGTAGGAACACTTGAGAGAGCTAACAGGGAGGGAGAAAGCAGAGAGGAATGAGACAGGAAGGGAGAGCACAGCACAACATGAGTGGCACATGTAAAGAAGGGCGACAAAGGATAGGAACAGGTGAGTTGATAGCATGTGATGCCAGTTTATACTATCTGATGGCATGTGTTGCCATGCCAGTTAATGCTACCTGATGGCATGTGTTGCCATGCCAGTTAATGCTACCTGATGGCATGTGTTGCCATGCCAGTTAATGCTACCTGATGGCATGAGTTGCCAGTTAATGCTATCTAATACCACCTGATCTCATGTGATGCTGTCTGATACCACCTGATCTCATTTGTTGCTATTTGGTACCACCTGATCTCATGTGATGCTATCTGATACCACCTGATCTCATGTGATGCGATCTGATACCACCTGATCTCATGTGATGCTATCTGATACCACCTGATCTCATGTGATGCTATCTGATACCACCTGATCTCATGTGATGCTATCTCATGCCACCTGATCTCATGTGATGCTATCTGATACCACCTGATCTCATGTGATGCTATCTGATACCACCTGATCTCATGTGTTGCTATTTGGTACCACCCGATCTCATGTGATGCTATCTGATACCACCTGATCTCATGTGATGCGATCTGATACCACCTGATCTCATGTGATGCTATCTGATACCACCTGATCTCATGTGATGCTATCTCATGCCACCTGATCTCATGTGATGCTATCTGATACCACCTGATCTCATGTGATGCTATCTGATACCATCTGATCTCATGTGATGCTCTCTGATACCACCTGATCTCATGTGATGCTATCTGATACCACCTGATCTCATGTGATGCTATCTCATGCCACCTGATCTCATGTGATGCTATTTGATACCACCTGATCTCATGTGATGCTAATTGATACCACCTGATCTCATGTGATGCTATCTCATGCCACCTGATCTCATGTGATGCGATCTGATACCACCTGATCTCATGTGATGCTATCTGATGCCACCTGATCTCATGTGATGCTATCTGATACCAGTTGATAAAAGTTGATGCCATCTGATGCCTGCCATTCGATGAGAGAGTGACATGGAAATTCTGGGTATGATGGAAGAGAGAGGATAGTGCAAACAAATATTCACAGGAAGGGAGGGCGAGCAGACAACAAACGAGGCTTACAAGAGTAAGGAAAAAAAGTGAGTACGGGAAGAGAGAGTGAGGCCAAGGGCGGTGAGGAAGGAAAGAGGCGCACCGGTGTGTGGCAAAGTGAATGAGAGACGATTGGATGCAAGGGGGGTGAATAACGAGTTATTGAAAGACAAGGATGATGACAGGGGCAAGAAACAGGAGTACGAGACACAAGTAGCAGACGATTGGGGTTCTGACTTCTGGAATAGGGGGTGAGTGGTAGAGGGCGGGATTGGAGAGAGGGGAGCGGAGGAGGAGAAAAAGTAGAAAGTGAATGAAGTGAAAACAAGGATGTAGAAGGAAGTGAGAATGAAGCAAGGGGAAGGAACTAGGGAGAAAAGGCAGATTGAGAAGTACACAAGAAAGAAACAAAAGGGAAACAGGGAAGAAAACACGAGGAGGGGGTGGGATTGGAGCGAATCAGAGAAGAGAAGCAGCAGAAATCAAGGTGGGACACTATTGGGTGAGGCTGAAGAGATGGAAAAAGGGTTTGAATTGAGATGCTCAGAAATGGACAACAAACTAGAGTAGAGTCCTTCATGAGGCAGTAATACAGGCTTCTGAAGAAGGCCATTTGATGAACAAGATTTAAAATAACGCATGTGTTACAATAATTTAATATAAAAATGAACAGACCTATTTACAGACGCTACTCTAATCTTTAACTAACAACACAGAGAATTTTTGCTGTGCTTTGCACTTCCGCAAATATTCTTTCGTTTGCTCCTAACTCATGCTGCAACAGCAGCAGCAGGCACAACCTTCGCCTTGGACAGTCTTGATACTTCAAACCGCAGCCGGATTTGTTCCAACTTAGACGTTTCCTTCTCGACCCTTCTAGCTGGCATGTTGCTGCGTGTAGGTCTCGCTTCAGGTGCCTTCAGAACAGCCTTTGAGCCCACAGGCTTCGGAATCTTCGTAGGCATGCATGAAAGTGCAGCCAGCGAAAGCATTTGTTGGGCTTTTTTCTGCAGCTTGCGCTGCGTCGTTTGCCCTCGTTGCTTCTGTGGCTGGTCAGAGGAGGCAACTCGAACAGCAGTCTCCTTGGCAGCACTCGCAGCCGCTGGACGGAGGGGAGAAAACCCGAGTGGTCCACGGAATGACCTTTCCTGCGGTAGCTTGTTATTTTCTTCGAATCTGCCGAATTTCATGGCAGCGAAGAAGGCACTGAAGCCTTTCTTGGTCGTTCGAAGCCTCCTAGAATCAGGGTTTGGTCGTCTGTCATTGCTGGCGGGCTGGCTGCCGTTCACCATGCAGACAGTTGCCATCGTAGTGCTAGAGACGACTTGAGTTGACAAGGCAGTTTTTTTCAAGTAGTTAAATTGCAGTCTCAGAACAGCGTCTTGGAGCAGGATTAGGAGCTAGCTGATGAGAATACCGATCAAGAATGCGATCAGGAGAGCCAAAAAAACTTCAGAGCAAGAAATTGGTGAAGAAAATGATGTGAGCTGCTTGACTATGTACATTCAAGCAGCGAGGAGAGGAGATCAGAGTAGAAGAGAGAGGCTCACTGGCGAACCCGTGGAGGAGACAGGCTCGGTGGGTTGAATCCCCAAGCGGATCTTCGGGTGAGACAGGCTCGGTGGGTTGA